AACTCTTGTTGAACTTCGTTTGGAGATCAAGCTATTTGCGAGTTAAACATTACTGTTTTATTTCACAAACAATGGATGTTTTATGTAGATTTAGCAAAGCAATATCCTGTACATAAAAGTGGAACATTTGAATTAAAACTTATTAAATACGAAAGTTTATCGCGTCGTCGTTTGAAGGGTCGATGGCATTTTATTACCGTTTGACGTGAGTCGGATCCAATTCTACCGCAGTTAATGATGACATCGAAAAATACGCAGACCATTCGAAGCAGTATTTAGTAGTTACTAGTTAGGCATTTTCAACACGATATTACTGCCAGTATTGTGTGGTCCATATATACGTGGAGAGCTTACAATGCCCTACGTGTTCAATTTAATAATGCGTTTAGGATGATGTTGTCACTGCCGCGCTTTTGTAGTGTATCCACAATCTTTGCGACATCTCACACAGATGACTTCTTTTTTTTATTGCTTAGATGGGTGGATGAGCTCACAGCCCACCTGGTGTTAAGTGGTTACTGAGGCCCATAGACATCTACGGCGTAAATGCGCCACCCACCTTGAGATATAAGTCCTAAGGTCTCACTCAGTAGGTATAGTTACAACGGCTGCCCCGCCTTTCAAACCGAAACGCATTACTGCTTCACGGTATAAATAGGATATAATAATGCGGAAGAGAAGTGCATCGTTATTGCGTTGAATGCGTGATAGTAACAACAGTCTCCTGAACATCATATGGAGCAAGATCTAGGAACTGGCTGACTAGGGATTAGTTGGCTGAGTTTTACTAGGCAGCCTTAGCTGCAGGCACTTGGGAAAGACTCAAAATCTGTTAGGTTTTTAAGTTACTAACATAGATTATAAGTAAATAATATGGTTTTTACTGAAATAAAGATAATAATAATAATTACTGGTAATTAAACACTGATTTATCACAATTTGAAGTAGAAGTCGAGACTTAACAACAACAGACTGTCCGAGTCTTATGACGTGACGCATCGCTTAAAATAAATTATTATCTCGAATAGGTTAAAGAGTAACGATAGTCTTAACAAGCTTGGACTTCAAAAGGAAGATAACTGAGAAATGCACAGCCTAGACTACCATTTCGAAACGTTTTAAATGTTAATTGGAAATGACGCCTACGTTGCTTTGTGTTGCAATCGGAGTTACTTAACCAAATAATGATGAGTCACGTATTCATAATATCAGTTTGAACGCACTTAAACTTAATTGAAAAATTAAAACAACATTATTCGTTTAAAGACGAATCAAATAAGGAAGTCACGGCTCATCAACTACTCTGAACTGCCCTTTCTCTGTTTGTGTCAAACGATTTAGCTCTTAATTGACTTTCTTTATTTGTCTTTATAGACTACATAAAAGCCGTTGCAGGCTCTACGTCGAAGAGGAAATGCCACGACCGGAACTTATGGCAGGATTTGGGGGAGGCCTATGCGAAAGCAAAACAATCTCAGCCGATGTCAAATGAAAAGAAAAAAAAATGAATAGTATGTATCTAAATATGAATTAAGGTTGTTAATAAAGGCTTCTTTATCTTTATCTTTCATCTTATTGTCGATACAGAAGTTTTAGGATTTTTAGAATGTTGTAGACAGATAACGTTTACAAATATAAATTAAAACGTGAAAATAGAGGATACTGCACATAAGTTCAGCATCGTCGAAGTTATTATTTACATTTGCAGTGCACATATGCGTATGTACAAAACATACCTAACATTGAAATCGACGTGTTAAAAGAGTTTACATAAAAATACTTCTAGTTTTGGCACATTGCCAAATTTCGATAGGCTATGAAGTCTTTAACATTTCCCAATTGAATTTACAACGAATTACAATTAAAAGAAGAATTTTAATGACCGAAATTACATTAGGCAATCTGTAAATAAAGTAATTCTCACAATTGCACTAATAGCAATGCTGTCGCCATTTTCCTTATTGCTTTAATCAAACAGATAAGTTATCCAAAAATGTATGTATCCGTTATGAAATAAGTAAGTTACAAAAATTAAAGCCTTATTATCTTTCACACGAGCGTCTGAAGAAATGTCGATAAAAGCATTTATTATTATATTGGCATTATTTATTATCATGACAATCGGTAGATTACGTATACCCTATGTAGCCACTTGAATCAGAATTTTAAAAAAAATACTTAAAAGGTTCTTCGAAACACACTAATTTGAACTTAAGCCGATAAATCCACAAAGCACATAATTCTGTAATTTAGTTGTTCAAATTGTGCTGTCACTACAAAATAAACCGATGAATTTCGTTCATATTTAAATTAAATAGCTTTAGACAGGAATATTAATTTGTAAATGCTCAAAAAAATGTGGGATACGATATTATGTCCATTTCTGTTCGTGCAGTTGTGACATACTAAAAATGCATGTCGCGATTTGTGACGTCATCGTCATTAAAGGTGCGGGCGTGAGTGAGAAAGCAAAATGTCGCTAAAAGTAAAGACGCTCTTGCTCATCCATCATTAAAACATTGATTGCTACGTTATTTTAAAACTATTTATTTTCAATGTTATTTCCACATACACATTTTGGATGGCATTTGCTGTTGCCTACAAAATAATGAAAATGTAGTATTAACGAATAGGGANGTGACGTCACCGTCATTAAAGGTGCGGGCGTGAGTGAGAAAGCAAAATGTCGCTAAAAGTAAAGACGCTCTTGCTCATCCATCATTAAAACATTGATTGCTACGTTATTTTAAAACTATTTATTTTCAATGTTATTTCCACATACACATTTTGGATGGCATTTGCTGTTGCCTACAAAATAATGAAAATGTAGTATTAACGAATAGGGAAATATCCCTTAAAAATATCAAAGAATTATTAACGCTATTTCTTATACGATTCTTATACGAATAGCAACGACATTAGAATTTCGCTTGCAGTTTGGTCTTAAAATTGAATTCATAAATCTCCAAAAACCATTGATTAGTTAGAATAAAGCCTTAATGCTTCGAGGAACCAGTCTGTATGTCTGAAGTTCGACTATTACGCAAGTACCAGTAATATCAAAGATTAGATTGTGCGCCGAGCGACATTCTCATAAGATCATTGTACTCGCTCGAAATAAAATAAAAAAAGCGCTTGGTATTTTGTACGCATTGCAAACGAATATTTAACATCAAATACTACTATGAATTTAAAGCATGACGAATTGTAAGTTTCTTGTTTCGTGAATTATTTTGCTCAGGTCTGTTTAGATCTAAAAAAATTAGAGGTTAAACTTGTGTCTTCATGAAAAAAAAAAGATAATTTTCGTTTAAAAAAACGTTCGATTATAATAATTTAAATATTTATCGCTGTAGTTCTATAGACCGTTTAATCATAGTGAAACTTACGCGTATAAGGTTAATTTCGATTCTTCACAGTTGACAACACACGCACACAAGTGACTCGGCGCGACATTTCACGGTCATGACAGTACGCACACATTTTAGAAAATGTAACAATAGAAACATGGCTTTTTGATATATTATGTACTGTACGTATAGTTTTATTTTTAATAATTTAAATTTTATGAACCAATCCATAATGAGACACAAGCTCGAAATCTCAATAGTGTGTCGTAATAATGATTGCAGTGTTTACGGAACTTTTTGTGAGTTTGATAAATTGTACTCATGAAGTTTCCTACATTGATGAATTTAATATAAGTGTTAAAACGTGCATTTCAAATTCACCAGTAATTCTTTCCGAATCGTGACAACATCTCCTTTAAATATACTTGTAGGAGAGGTGTTAATAGCAAAATCCTGTGTAGCATCTAATTCGCTCAAATCTTTTGTGTCTCAATGACGTAATTCGTATTCACAAGAACAGCGACGCGCCATAACGAAATCACTGTTCTTACTTTAAATTTAGACCAAGTACTTTATTCTTTACTTTAGTATTTTATATCTATAGAACGTAATTTATCTCTATATATAAAAATGAATTGCTGTTCGTTAGTCTCGCTAAAACTCGAGAACGGCTGGGCCGATTTGGCTAATTTTGGTCTTGAATTATTCGTGGAAGTCCAGGGAAGGTTTAAAAGGTGAGAAAATATAAAAAAGCTCGGAATTATATAAAAACAAACAATTTTGTTTTTCCTTTGATGTGTCCCCTTGATGTGTCTTTTATTTATCGATTGAGGCACTACGAAGTCTGCCGGGTCAGCTAGTGCGAAATAAATTTTAAAAGAATCGTTGTTATGCAACTGCAGTATTGTTTTATTTTTCAAAATTTATCAGCAGCAACATAATACCTAAGTTGATAATTTATCATTATCATTTGATATACCATGCCTGTTGTGATAATATCTTACACAAAAACAATAGGTAGCATAGAATTTCCAAGACATTCATGTAATTTCTGCTGTTGGCGAATTATGCACTTTATCGGTATGATAAGATATTACTGATAACATGATTGATATACGCATTAATATGTTGTATTAACATAAAACGCATCGAATGTAACTTATGATAAAAAAAATTATATTAAGTGTATTAATATTTTAAAACCATTATTCAGAACCTTTCAGAACAGCAGAGATCGTGTTCACGAAGCTTATGTCATTTATTTACAAGCCAATCATATGTTTCTCGGACTGTGTTTACATGATTCATAAATTTTTTATCTATGTATTCTTTTTCAGGGTCAAATAACATTTTACTAATGCAAAACTACGTAATATTTGATGAACACAAACATTAATTTAAATGAAAATTTAGCAATGCATGAAACGGAACCGTACAATTGCCACTGATGGTCACTCAATAAACTCCTATTAAATAATGAACGACAATTAGGTGTTGCCAAAGCTGCATACAAAGTGAATTAATATGATTGTAACTTTACCGACCTTTATTTCGATAAAAGATATTATGATTTGATTTTCGGCTAACCTTTAAAAATAAACTCTGCTCCAAAACACTAGTAAATAAAAAAAGTAAAAAAAAAACACTCACCCACAAGTGCACATTTCGCAGATGCACTGTTCCTTGTTAACGTCAGGCTTCTTGGGGCCACCATGTCTTGGTCGGGTTTCATCGATGATAACGGTCTCTTCGGTGGTGATTCGATCGTCGCGCACAGTTTTCCTATCATCTATGATGGTCTCGTCGTAAACAGTGCGGACGTAATCTTCCCTTGTAGTATCTGTAATAGCACGGTCTACCACGTCGTACTCGCGAATTACGTCTTCGGTCGTTTGGACATCGGTCTAGAAGACGAACAAAAACAAATATGTTACAATTGTTTTTTTTTATATAACTATATGAATCCGTATAAATATCAAATAAATAAACTCACCAAGTTTTTGAAGTCTAACTTGCTCTTATCGACGAAGACGTCCGTCTTAATTTTATCATCCACTTTCGGTTCTTCGTACGTTGTTATCTTCCTGGTGACACCATTTTCAGTTATATACCGCGTCACTTCAACTTGGCTTCTGTTCTTTTCGATTTCAAAAGACTTTCTAGTCGTTTCTCCGGTTGTGGTTGTCAATACCGTACTTTCTTCAGTATCAATGCCTTCGTATAAATCTTTGACATCCTCGTTAATTTTTGTCCCAAAAGAAACCTTTTCAATTCTTTTGAATGGATACTTCTTAACCGTGTCAATAATATCTTTGAGCACACGATCATCTATATTCCTCTTTATTACGATATTCTTATTACTTACTGTCACATCTTTAGTTGATTGGGATGATTCAATTATTTTACGTAAATCGCTTATGGACGTAAAATCTCTTATGTCCCTCGATGATATAATTATATTCTCTTCGGTATCTTGCCGTTTCAGATGGTGTCTAGGTTGTTCGGGTCTTCCAAAAGGTGACATTTCCTTGGGTCTTTTTGGCCTATCATCATCTTTTTCATAAACAAATTTACCATTCCACGTCCCGGTACTTCTTTCATAGCTTGTCAAAGTATCTTTAGTCTGAGTTTCTGATTTTGAAGTTGATTCTTTAGACAGATTTTGTATTTCAGTGGTAATAAAATCCGTAGTTTTAGTGACATCCTTTGAATCCCTAACAGTATCAGAGGATTTGGATTCACTTACAGTTGAGTAAGTTTGATCAGTAGTGTCTTGAATTCGTTTATTGTGAATATCATCGGTTTGATCGTGTTCGGTTATTGCTTTTCTCTTAGTAAAATCTCCACCATAAACATTCTTCGTAGACGCTATTTCTTTACCATTCTTGTATAAAGCTGATTCTTCGGCAACATATGTAGAGCTAGTCGGTATCCCATTTTTTCCAGTATCATAATGAGATTCCTTATCTAGTACGTGACGAGCATATTCATGTTCGGGCTTGATTCCAGGTCCACTAACGTTATGACTCTTTTCATATGTTGAATGTTCTTTATTATCACCCCATTCTCTGTGTGAGCTGTCCACGATTCTTTCTTTCCCATCGACAACTTCTACTACATAAGACGATGTTGTAGCCTGCTGAGCACTGCTTGTATTGCTCTTAAGTATTTTGGTAGAAAAGTTTATATTGTCTGTATCTTTCACTTGTAAAATGTCACCGACTTTCCTTAGTTCATTTTGTATGGTAGTATCGTAACCGTAGAAGTTTGATGAATCGGTTTGGTTAACATTTCGCTTACGATCAGTGACTATCTGTTTACTGTTTCTTACATCTTCAACAGTATCTGTGTGACTTTTATCGCTGTAAACGTTCCTTTGATCAGTGTATACATTTTTCGTGTTGTAATTAGTAGTATTAGTGGTGTAATCTTCTCGCTGGTTGGTTGTCATATTTTGATCTGAATAAAGAGTCTGCTGGTTAATGTTGGTATTCTTTTGATCATAAATATTATCACTATTAGTGTAAACATTGCTTGATGTTGTAAGTTTTGGATGACGAGGGTCATCACTGGATGTCAGTTGGTCTTGTGTTGAAGTAGATTGCTGGTGGCGTAAGTTATCTTTCTCTGACACAATACTTGCATGAGTTGTAATATGCTTTCCATCTTTAATATATTTTGAGTCCTCCTTTATGGTGAGCTCACTTGTTGGTTTCTGGCCTTCTTTGCCTGTGTCATATTTGGATTTCATATCATAGTTTTTAACGCTGTACGCTGATTGAGGTTTGATATCTGTACCACTAACGCTTGCGTACGATTCATTTGTAGCATGCTCTTGAGCATCACCCCATTCTCTCTTCGAACTGTCAATAATACGCTCTTTACCGTCCACAATTTCAACCACGTAAGAGGAAGAAGAAGATTTTGTCACATTGCTACTCTTGCTTTCACTTGTTTTAGACGTACTTGTATACTCCTTACTTTTGACGTTTCTGTCAAGGCTTCCTTCACCGCCATAAAAATTAGAAGAATCAGAACGAACCGTCTGTATTCTTTGAGATGGGTCCGGTGAATTTCGATAAGTGACATTCTCGCGTCCAAGTCCTTGCTGTTCATCGACGTTAGATTGACTAACCGATCGCACTCCCTCTGCTGTCTGTCTAACCAAATTTTGTCTTTCAGTCTGAAGAAAGTTGTTTGACGCATTCGCCGTTTGAGATCTTGTTGAAAAAGTATTTCTAGAATCTGTTACATTTCTAGCTGAGCTGTCAATAAAAGCCGTATTCAGTGTCTGATTCGAAGTTGAAGAATCTACTGATTTATCGAAAGATTGGCTTTGTGTGCTGTGACTCGAACCAGAACGCTGAACAGAAGATGATGTAGCCTGGAACGATTCGCTTTTAGAACTGGTTTGTTGCGAAGTTGACGATTCTTGAACAGAGCTAGAGACGAACTCTCCGGTTGTTGACTGCGTCATGTCACTTACTTGAAGTTCCTGTGACCTCATTTGAGAAAGATCACTCATTGAGGGAGCCTCTGTGATTATGTAGTGCGGGTGACTGTTATAATGTTCAGAAACAGTTGATCCGGCAATCGACGTGTGGTCACTAACGTCTGTTATCATCAAGGGATCATCTTCCTCGACCTTAACATCGATATAGCGCACCTTCTTTCCAGAGCTGACCTTTTGCAGGGTGTTACTGCTTTGTTGCACCGACGTGGATTTACTTGTTTTTTGGACACTCGTCGAAGCACTACTGGACGAAGTCACTTCGGACGACTGTTTAGTCTTTTTATTTTTTATTGTCATTTTGGTCCCACAATTTTATTTTAAATGTACCACTAATTAATATTATATAGGAGATTCTTAAATAAACAGGATTAAATGAGCTTACGTAAAAAATTATCACATAATAAATATCAAAGTCAAACAATTGCCATGTAAATATAAAAAAAATTTGGTCGCGAGAGTCGTTCGTGTCGTGTGTCGTAAGTGCGCGCGCGCTCTTCACGAATGGCTCGCGTATTCTGTGGATTCTGTCTGAGCGTGCGCACTGCGCCGGCGCCCCTCAGCCTCAGCCCAGCGCCTTGGAGCCGCCGCCCACAAGACCTTCGCGACACGTAAGCGTTCACATCTCACCATGTTGGACTCATACCAAAAATGGTGTAAAGCGTAACTGCTCGCTTACTTCATAATAAACTTTAGTCATCGGACTCACGCTCGTACAGCAAACTGAAAAATATTTTTGCATTACAAATACATAAATGAAATAAAACAGTTATTGCCACCAACTAAAATGGTCTGCTGGAAGACTTTGGAGAATTGGAAAAAATGCCCTCAGTTTTTTTCTAGCTCATGACATGTGTTTCAACAATTGAGAATTAAAAAGCTTATTTCTCAGTACATTCACTTGTTTATGTGGCTGACATCGCTATAACCTTACGGCCAGGGGGCTGGAAGTTCTTCTGCTATCGATGGCAAACTATACCGATAATCAAATCAAATGACATACCTAATTTAAAAAAAATACCAGTCGACTTCAAAACTAGGACATACCATACATACCTACCATACCAAACAGTCACTAATAAAATAACAAAATACCCAATTTCGTTTGCTTGGATGATTTGTTTTTTTCATTAAATCCAATGAATCAATTTTGATGCAATTTCTACGAAAGCAACATCAAAAAGGTTATTCTTTAAAAAAAATATTCTCTATCCGTTCTAATAATAATAAAACATACAACCGAGTTGAAAGCCTCATAGGTACCTATTTAAATCGATTTCAAAAAATAGTAAACCAACATAATATCTATAACACTTGATTAGTTAAAAATAACGAATGTTGCATTAAATTAAGAGACGAATATAAGTGCATAGGTAGATAGCGTAATGTAAAGACAGTATTGCAATACACCATTCCACCCTTACGACTTGATTGCACTTATTCTTCGGGGTATAATTATATAGGTTATCGGTACCCGCTGGTACTATCAGTTTCCAGTTACTTTCATGAAGCTACGGATCGCAGCCGATGGAGGGAAATCGTAAGGGAGAAACTAATTTAGCGGGGGAGTCACGATCCTCAGTAATGAGGAAAACGACGCGAGGAGGAGGGAGGTACTATCAGTACGCCTTACCCAGGGACGTCTTAAACTAGGATGGGGCCCTTGGGCACACAAGAATTTGAGGCCCTTTTGGAAAGTAAAAAAAGCGAATTATAATAACATTTTTTTACTGAGTATGACCATTTATTATAGGTAATCAAATATAATATAATATGGCATTAATGATATTAGATGCCGCTGGTTTTTTGGTTACGATTTCGATAACGGTTTCTTTCGGAATTTCTGTTGAGTAAAATCTTCTATTATAGGCATAGTATATGCCTTGTAAATACCTGCTGATTACTGATTTGTGAACAAAGTGTAATGTGCCCGACAAAAATGTTTTGAGAATAAAGTTGTGAGAGAAATTGTCGGTCTTTCGGGGCCCCCTGAGAATGGGGGCCCTGGGCACGGGCCCCGTGTGCCCTTATGGTAAAGACGGTATTGGCCCTACCACCAACAAGAAAAGAAAATAGTGAAGGGATCAGAAATCTAAGAAGAAATATTAATCGAAGAGCAGATAATATGCATTTCAGCACATTGACCCGTACCGTAATTGGAAAACCCATTTAAATGTAATTTAATATGCCACAGTCAATTATTGTTATGTGTTAATGAGAGAGCATAGGTACCGTTTGTGGCTTCGAATACATGTGCTGTCTAAATATGTTTGTATCTAATGACTGATTTTGTTGTTTCTTTTTATTGCTTGGGTACGTGAACGAGCCCACGGCCCATCTGTGCTATGTGGTTACCTGAGCCCATACACATCTAGAACGAAATATCGCCACCCACCTTGAGATATGAGTTGTAAGGTCTTAGTAGGTATAGTAAAACGGCTGCCCCACCCTCCACACCGAAACGCATTACTGCTTCACGGCAGAAATAGACAGGGCGGTGGTACCTACCTGTAGGTGGCGGCCTCCCCCCGGTGAAGGTCATAGGGTGACCTGAGGGGGCTGAGGCTGGGCGGCGCGCTACCGGCACTCTAGCGCGCTGCCAAGGAGAAATAAAATAAAAGAGCAATCGGTTGGCGGTGTATCGCGTCCTGACACGGCAGGCTGGTTTTGGTCCAGCGGAGTATTCCAGGACACCAGCGGCACCGTCTGGGCGGCCTGACGGGCTGCCGTACCGAGTCGGCTGACGTTTCAGAACCTTCGATTCGCTTCGAAGGCTCTGTCGACCGGGCGTCCTCGGGGTGAGCTGCGCAGTCTGGTTTTAGTGTTGTTCGCGCGATAACCCCCTTACCTCATCTGGATTCTGACCTCGGAGGGGATCGGACGCTTGGGCGAAGAGTGCAGGGGAGTTTAGTTGGTAAGGTCCCGAAAAAATCCTTGGGCCCGTGGTTCGCAATCGCGGACCAGCCCCACATACACAGCACGCCCCCTAAGCGCGAGGACCTCCTAAGAGGTTCAGCCAACGGCCCAAAAAAAAACACATTGGTGGTACCTACCCGTGCGGATCCACAAGACGTTCTATCACCAGTAAAGTATAATTAATGCTCTCTAAGGTTTTTATATATTTTTGTATATTCCAAGGAAACATGTAATTATTTGTTATGCCTGTAAATATATTTATTTGTTACGTTCATAACTATGCCGTAATATTGTTGGTCTTGTAAAAATAAAATTATGATTTTAAGATTTATTGGTTGATGAAATTGCTGTTTAGTATAGAGAAAGTTGAATTAATTTTTTTATAAATATTTTTCAAAATCCTTTTTTTTTCATGTCGGAAGCCTTCAAACCGACAACGAGTCGCGGGTTCGTTTGCAGTGCTCACTCCCGTAAACGCTTCGATCAATAATAGCATAAACGTCATTAATGTTGTGAAGATGTCGTATTCTATAACTACTCGTATTTTTGTCGTATCCATATTAATGAAAAAGATACAAATGTAGTGAAAACCACACACTAATCCATAAACAAATGACGAAAATTGAAAACAGAATTCCGATTTTTTTTAAATAAATTCATTTGAATTTAGAATTAATTGCCAGTCGTGCATAAATTGCTTTTCAAATAGCCAGTATTGTGAAACGGCAACTTTATAAAGAAGCCATACTTCAGTTAAAAACAGTGGCAGTAACTAAAGCACCTCTAGTTAGTCACAAATCCACTGGTGAGCCATACAAACTAATATGTGACCTAGAAACATTGACGTATCAGCGAATTACGAGGAAAGGTTGCCTGTAGTGACATAACTAATGTTACTAGAATACAAAAACCACAACAACATCACACGTGAGTTTCTCGCTGGATCTTCTCAGTGGGTTGGTATTCCGATCCGGTGGTAGATTTTGCGAAGCACTGCTGCTAGGGCTAGTGTTAGAAAAATCTCTTAAGTTGAGCCCGTGAGCACCGAGCTGGAATAGCACCTTTACGCAAATACAAATCCTCAAGTTGACGCAATGATGGAGTTTATATGACAACCAATCATTTGATAGTAGAGCTACCACTTTATCCATCGTAAACAAAAGGCCACCTCAAAACTACATCAAAAGTTTACGAACGTACATATTCTTTGAAATTAATAAATAAACTGACACAGATATTACTCCGAACTTACAAGGATTTTAAATGAATGAATTATAAAAGTATTATTAGATGAAAAACAAGTCACATTACTACGAACTTTACAAGGTTCTGGAATGTAATTAATTGTAAAATTATTATTGGAAGAAATAACAATCGTTTGTTGTTCAATTTACCTAGAATGATAATATATTCGTGAGGTCAGACACTAATCTAATTATGGCATTAATTCTCCTGTTTGCCTTTTAAGATGTAGTCAAAAGACGTTTTCACTATAATATATTGATATACTAGTTTTTGCCCTCGACTCCGTCCGCGTGGAATAGTTACTTTGGCATAACGCTAAATTTTACCCCTCACTTCATTTACGTAGAAAGTAATAAGTTATTGAATTAGTTTTTGAATTATAGAATGTTAAGGAGCTATTTAAACCCCTATTTTGAAACATTCTTTATTGGTGCTCCACTTGTATTGGCCTTACCGTGATGTTATAACCTATAGCCTTCCTCAATAAATGGGTTATCTAACACTGAAAGAATTTTTCAAATCGGCCCAGTAGTTCTTGAGATTAGCGCGTTCAAACAAACAAACTCTTCAGTTTTATAATATTATTATAGATTTTTTGCAGTCATAAGGCGTGCTGTGATACTGCCTATTCCTGTCGCAAAGCAGTCGTGTGTTCTGGTTTAAGGAATGGAGTAGCCCTTATTTAATATGATTAAAATTACAACCTCATTTTTCAAACTACCCATCTGGTGTGCTAAGTGTTGGATGAGTTCAAAGTTCCAGTTCTATAGCACAAACGCTGTCTCACCCTTCAAACTGGAAGACATTACTGCGCAGCCGAAATTGGCAGGGTGGTGATAGCTATACGTGCGGGCTCATAAGAAACGCTACCAGTATTTAATCATATCACAATTTTAGCGTCTTTGATTTTTTCTTACACATCGTCACGCATTCATTGTTGAAGACTTTCTGATCACGTACAGGAGAGAGTAGGTATTTTCTAAGAAAAATTGGTTCTTTCCTGCAGATTTCAATAGCGGTAGTCACTTTGTTAATGCTAGCACACGAACGTTTTATCCTATAAGTAATGGTGATTCCACAACTACAAATTAAAATAGATGCATTTTTTTTTTTATTGCCTTTGTAGGCAGACGAGCATACGGCCCACCTAATGGTGAGTGGTTACCGTCGCCCATGGACTTCAGCAATGCCAGGGGCAGAGCCAAGCCGCTGCCTGCCGCTTAATACTCTCCACAAGCCTCGTTTGAAGGACATGTCATAGCACTCGGGAAACACCGTGGAGGGGAGCTCATACCATAGCCGGATGGTACGTGGCAATATGTACTTTTAGTTTTTAGATTTTTCTTTTTTAAATTGTTAGTTTTCTATATTTGCATTGCGTCAAATATATCAGGAACTGTTTATTCTACAACGTCTGAAATGTTACCAGATTTATTTCGCGAAAATTATATGGCAAATAATCGTGCAGGCAAACAGGCGTCAACGTGGGTTGCGCAAGACCCGGTTGCCGTTGCCTATACAAGGAGCTCGTGGGCGAAGTCGACGTTGTCTTTGAATCAATCGCCCACGGCCTGGCACTCTTGTCTGTATGCAAGTCTCACAAATAACTATATTTATCAATTCTGTATACCGTTACAATGGTAATGTATTGTTTATCGAATATGATATCGACAAAAAGCTATGGTTGTGTGATTCCACACGTTTGCGGGATAGAGTCCTTGAATAGCATTATCCCATACCTACTGGTGGATGTCGTAAAAGGTAACAAAAATAATCACCGGAGAGTAGGAAGTAGTTTTCTCTTACCATAATAGCTTAGCGTAATGTGGACGCGGACGTACCCGTCCCACAATCCCGCTCATATCTGCCGCGAAACAAACATTCTTTCCGGCTTTAAGGCTGGGACATTCATTACACAATATCACTGAGATTTCGAACTCATATTGAGTCTATTAGACAACGCCCAGGGACATGACTTTACATCAGGCGAGCCGTGAGTGCTGAGGTTGCACTTTCACCGATTTATCTATACTAATATTATAAAGAGGAAAGATTTGTTTGTTTGTTTGTATTGAATAGGCTCCGAAACTACTGAACCGATTTGAAAAATTCTTTCACTGTTTGGAAGCTACACTATTCCCGAGTGACATAGGCTGTAATATTTTTTGAAAAAAAATTAGGTATCCTTACTAAAACTCTAATAATGTAACCCAAGGTGTAAAAAAATTACCTAAAATATTCTTTACATCGCGTGTCCTGCGAAAACTATTGATGATAGAATAAAAAAATGTACTACGACTTTGTAGAACAAGTTATTATTTATAAAAAGTGTCGGGACAGCATATGTCTAACTATTGTAGTTATGCCGCAATAAGTGTTCTTTTATTTAAAAAAATAAAACAACGTCAAATATCGTTGAAATTTTTGTTACAGACCCGAGCGGAGCCGGAGCGGGCCGCTAGTACAGTAATAAAATTAAAAAAACTTGTCCCAATTAGTAATATTCTCCACTTAGTGTCCTACTTGTTACTCCGTTAAGTCCTATCTTGGGCACTGCTGGTGGGGCGTGTGGTGAGCCTGACAGAGCGAGTACCTGTCCCTTTCCAGTCACTGCCTGACTTAATCTCCCAGTTAATTCACGAGTATTTTAGATATAAGGTTGGGAAAAAAGTTTCTTCGCATTTTCTAAGAAAATTCACATCATTTTTTAATATAATTTTAGTTACATTTAACTAAAGTATGTAGGTACCATTTTGTTCGATAACTTTTTGCCTTCTTGTAGGTAGGGACATGATCCCATTTCTATATAAATTTTGGGGCTTCTGATCAAAATACCGCGACAGTTGGTTTTGGCAGTCCTCTCGTGATGTTAACCTGACACTGCCTAAAGAATTCTGAAGAGACCGAAACAGGTGGAAATCTGAAGGTGCAAGGTCAGGACTATATATTATATAGTCCTATACTATATATTGTATAGTCCTGACCTTAATATATAGCAATATAACCACATAATTTGACGCAAATCTCAATCATTTAATAGTTGTTTCACCCTGGCTTAGCGGCAGATATACTCAGGATGGTGGTACCTTTGGGAGGTTTAAGTCAAAAAGAAGATCTTCCACCAGGCCATTGCTATTTTAATGTATTTCACTAATAAATAAATTATTAAAGTAATCACTTATAAAACAAAGTGAGTTGGGAACTTGTTTAGCCATCTACAGCAATAAAAAATTTGGTTTTTATAACAACAGACAGTATAACTGCAATAATACTATTTTAATAGTTCAATTTTAAATCATGATTAGTGACATCTTAATGCTCTAGTTTTGTATAGTTTTCTCTGAGGACTGAAATATTAAGTGTTATAATTAGGTATGATGGTCCATTCATTGCGTTCTATATATTTTCCTGAGTCAAGTAAAAGGTATTCTCGGAACAATGATCACTTTCCCATAGCGACATCTCTGATTCGTGATTGACACTATTGACAGCTATATATTAAAACGAAACTGAGCTGTCAGATTGTGTGGCCTCGAACTAGTACGTGACAACTAAATTTAGATGACGCTAGCATAGATTTGACTTCACTGGATCCAAGTACCTAATTGTATTAAAATACACCTGTGACGTTATGATCTTGTTCATTCGATATTTAATCATAAAATTTACATATCTGATTTTCTATATTAACCTTTAGGAAACATTTTAAGTTCGGTTTTAAATCTTTTAATGTTAACTAGTTTACGAAATATGCCCGAAGATTAATAAAAAAAATTGACGCTTTTCCCACTGTTTCTTCTTAGGCCGGAAATACTTACTTTGATATGACGTCCTGAAATAAAAAATTATTGAACATGTTGTACAATATACTATTAATTTATGAAATCTCTTCTTATAATAATTCATAAGATTATCTCCTTTTATTATAAAATAAGAAATATAGAATAAAATTACAGCACATGAACATCCATGAGACAGCATGTAAATGAAAAAAGCACACTTATTTTTTATTTGTTGTTGGTATTCTGCTGGTTTGGATTTTGTCCATCCGGATAACTTGCAAACTTTATGTATGGTTATTGTTTATGCCTCAAGGAAAGTTTGTTATAAAATGGTACCACCCAGGTAAGTACTGCAAGTAATATTACTTCATCAATGGTACATTCATCAATAGTAAATCATTTAATTCTGTTATATAAATTCAGGTTTAATTATTTAAGTAATTGTATAGTAATATTGGTGATTTATAAACCACTTGGTATATTCAAAAGGACACAACTGTGGAGAAATAAAACAAAATCGCTGGAAGTAGCTGCTCATCGGCGTTGTCCAGAAAATACTTCATAATTTCAATAAATTTTCACTATTTTACTGAGAATTTATATCATTTCCTCTTGTCTCATTTCATTAAAAGTTATGATGCTATAATAATTATCACTCGGACAATCATTCGGATTAATCGCTCCGATTCATACCACTACTCATTCATCATTTCTGTTTTCATAGAGCATTCATCAAATTGAAGATTTGGCTAAAAGAACTGGAATCCGCGCCATAACAACATTAAAAACATATTTTTTCCAAGTCATGACCCATGCCTACTAGATGGCGCTAAAAATCTTAAAGTCGATAAAGGTTGCGTGCGTCACGTCACTGCGCAATCAAGCCATAATCAAGCACGGAAATAAAATAACAGCTGTTCTACAATATTCGTTCGGGCAACTCAGTCAGCAGCTGTAGCACGCACGTAGCTGATTTTCTTCGGATTACGTTTCGTTGAACGGTGCTTCGCTTTCTCATTGTTGTTTAACTGATCGTGTGCTTTGGGTCTGTTGTTTCGTCTACTTTTCAACGTAAATTATTAACAAAGATTTAAGGGTTGACGTTTGAAGTGTGTGACACGTACTTGTGGATGCTGCAGTATCGATGCTATGTTTACCAAAATTTCTAGTTCGTTGTTATTGTGACGAGTTGAAATGCCTGGTGGATACGTGGACAGCGCAAAGAGTTCCAAAGTGATATGTTTATATAATTTTGTTTAGATAGGTAGTGAAGGTTGAATAAATACATAACTGACAATGTCTAACACTGTTCCAACGAGTTCAGCCCTCAGGGCTTTAGCGTTGGAGTACAAGAGTCTGCAAGAAGAACCTGTAGAAGGTTTCCGTGTTAAATTGCTAGGAGAGGACAATCTATTTGAGTGGGAAGTGGCAATCTTCGGACCGCCGGATACACTTTATCAAGGTGGATACTTCAAGGTAAGATTAAACTATGAACTATATCGCGCAGACTAATAATTATAANCAACGAGTTCAGCCCTCAGGGCTTTAGCGTTGGAGTACAAGAGTCTGCAAGAAGAACCTGTAGAAGGTTTCCGTGTTAAATTGCTAGGAGAGGACAATCTATTTGAGTGGGAAGTGGCAATCTTCGGACCGCCGGATACACTTTATCAAGGTGGATACTTCAAGGTAAGATTAAACTATGAACTATATCGCGCAGACTAATAATTATAACTTTTCAAATTCAGATTTTTCAAATTAAGGTTAAATGTTGTAATTTATGTGGGTAAGGCTAAACTGTTGAAATCCAATTAGATTGCTAATTTATTTAACTAATTTCTATAATTTGTTAACCTAATGTTATTAAAGTATGCACTGTTAACTTTACCTAAAAATAACACATTTCAAAGTCAGCAGTCATTCGAAAATTTCAATCAAAATTTCAATTTATTAGAAGAAGAGATTTTATTTTCACAAAAATAGACATGAAATTGAAATCATGACTTCCTCAATGAATTTCTTCACCATACACATCGGAAGTGGTATATATTGTGAAAATGATTCATACCATTTACCTTCAAACAAAAACACAAAGAGATCGTAAATTTTTGTCTTGTACATTTTGTACATGTATCTAGAGCACATTTACATAAATGTCCACAAATATTCAACCTCAATATAGTTTGTTCTTTAATTCAATGCAAAGTAATGTAGCAACAGAATTAACTACATCCATATCAAATAACAATATGGATAAAACAATAGACAATATAGAGACTGAAATTTTGAGATTAAAGACTAATTATTCTTTCGATAAAGTCATTGTTACGTCGAAAACTATAATAATGGAAGTAAACTTATTAATTATACTTAAAATTGCAGTATTTAACTTACAGCCCCTTGATTAAGTTCTGACAAAAGCCTCAAAATAGAAAAAGCAATATTATTTTGTAATGTCCACAAACAGTTAGTGTGAGGACTCTTAGTAGTAATGTTCAGATATATGCAGAATGTGAACCAAAATTAGGGCTATTGATTGTTTTAGAACTTCTGTATTTGCACAGCAGGATACTGTTACATCCCTAATAATATGACAACAATTTATAAATATGTGTGTTGTTTTCTTCTATTTTGAGACCTTAGAACTTATATTCCAAGGTGGATGGCGCATTTACGTTGTAGATGTCTATGGGCTCTAGGAACCACTTAACACCAGGTGGGCTGTAAGCTCATCCATCCATCAAAGCAATAAAAAATAAATAAAAAATTGACTCCAGAAACAGTAAAATTTTACAAAAAAGTAATCACATAAATCATCTGCTTAATTCTGTGTGATTTATTTAATCAAGTTACCTCACAAAGGATAATGGGTTATTAATAATTGATAGATCTCTGAAATTAATACAAGAAAGTCTAATATAGAAGACTACTCAACAATTGAACTGAAAACCAATTATAAATTTAAAAAATATTTAATTAAATTAAAAATTAAGATTTGCATTCATTTTTTTAAATATTACCATTCACTTGTTTTTGTCAGATTTTTAATACTAGATTTTACTACAAGCTATACCTGCCATGACTAACTGTTGATACAAAAGAACATTTAATTGGATAACAAAATTAAATTATTAATAAAATAATTAAGAAAGGAACAAAGTTAAGTTCAATTCCAAATAAATGAAACAAATAAGTAATAATAAAATTAAGTAATAATGTCTTGAGCATTATTACTGGTGGTAGGACCTCTTGTGAGTCCGCACGGGTAGGTACCACCACCCTGCCTATTTCTGCAGTGAAGCAGTAATGCGTTTCGGTTTGAAGGGTGGGGCAGCCGTTTTAACTATACTTGAGACCTTAGAACTTATATCTCAAGATGGGTGGCGCATTTACGTTGTGGATGTCTATGGGCTCCAGTAACCGCTTAACACCAGGTGGGCTGTGAGCTCGTCCACCCATCTAAGCAATAAAAATAAAAAAGCATAATGTATTCATACTTATTAAAATATCATTATCAGAATTTTCAGTAAATTACTTTATTGTAAGATGAGCTCACAGCCAAGCAAATATTGATTATCAAATTACCAAGCCCAGAGAAACCAAATGTGAATATCCACTGACTGACTTTTAGTACCCATGCTACTAAACTATGATAATCCCACCTAGTTCTATCTTGAAGCATTTGCATATTACAATATAATTGAGATTTAGATCTCATCTCTTAAGACAGGTTTTAGTATTGCCATTGTGGTGTTGCCCTGTAACTGCTTAATAATAAAATAATTTGTGGTTCTTAAATAAGACTCACAACCAACTCTGTTTAAATTTGAGTAATTCTGTTTGAACAAACACATTTAAAATTATCTTTTGTTTTTGTTTCAGGCACACATGAAATTCCCCCCTGACTACCCGTATTCACCACCATCCATTAGGTTTTTAACTAAAGTCTGGCATCCAAATGTATATGAAGTAAGTAAAAAAATGTTTTGCTATCTATTGTGTAATATGTATTTAGATATTGTTAGTTTGCAGATACTGCAGTAAATAAAATGGTACATGCACTTTAAATATGGTCATATGAGCCTCAAGACTTCCAGTACGTAAGCTGATAGAACTCGTGATTGTGGTTCGCAATAGAATAGGTAATCAAAACAAAATCGTGTTATTGAAATTATTGCGTGATTACGGAGTGGGTCTGTGGTTTGGAGTAAGTTATACTGCGTCAGGACGTTGATTTGCGGAGAGCGCCTGTCCAACTACAGAGTGATAAACATTTGATTTTCTTAATATGAAAGACTGCGGGTTTTTTCTAGAATCTTGCGTGTGACCATGAGCTCGAAGCTGTTACTCTGCTTCCTAGTTACCAAAATCACTTTTTGAGCCTCCGCAAAAAGGACAACTAGGCTAGTTCGCAATGCGGAGTTATGGATATGCATAAATTTTCGAAGGCTCCAATATGAACATTGCTCACTTTCTTTACAATACACATTTCCACATGCGTGGGACATCGAGTGCACGTGAGTGGCTAATACTTAGTCTCGATTATTCGTGAAATGGTTCTAATTGATATACCTTTATCCAATGCCCAGTCTACTATTCTTAAAGAGGATTGGGGCTGATGTCTGGTTGGCGATCGTTAGGTAAAGATATGAGCCAAATCAACAATAAATGCATCTTTACTTAATTGGAAAAAGGAATCATGTTTAATGGTAAACGCTAAGCATCACGTTTTTCCTATCTTGTCTTTTGTACCGTTGTATTGACTGTAACTCTGTTTGCAAACTATTAGAAGTGTTTTTTCTTCCGTAATCATTGAATTCGATCACGTAAGTTTGAGTTTACAGTTACAATGCCAGTTTGTATTCACCATTACAGCATTTTTGAGCAATTGTCTTCCCTAAGAAATACTTATAATATACCTAAATTAAATAGTTAATTTTTTTTTTTATTTTTTTATTGCCCTTGTAGATTTAGAGATTTTTAGATTTAGAGAATTTAGAGATTAGTAATTAACATAGAATAAGGTAGTCAAGGTCTTAGATTTTTTGCTACATATACAGTTCTTTCAGCTTTAATAAAAAAAACACAGTTACTGTGTACCCCTTTTAAGTAAATACAAATAAAAAATCCAGGAGTACAAATTGAATTTTCTGTATGCTTATCTATCAGGCAATTTAGTAACTTTTCAACGCCCCCGCGATAAAGAGCCAAACAAAACGCCTGCAGGAAAACAAACCAAGAAAACATGTTTCAAAACGTTTTATAGCAGCTTTGTTGACACAATAACTTTCAATTTACCTTGTTGTCGGTACAATCAATTAGGTATTCTGTGTTTGAACGTTACTGAAATAAGAAACAAGTAAAATATGTTATCAATAACATTTGTGATTCTTTCGAAGATCGCGGTATTACAATCTAAGCAGTATCTACGTTATTAGACTAGAACAAATAATAGTTTCATGTCTCATCGACTTTTCACATTAATCAAAGGCGCGTTCGTTTTTTTTTATTGCCTTTGTAGGCAGACGAGCATACGGCCCACCTGATGGTAAGTGGTCACCGTCGGTCATGGACGTCAGCGATGCCAGGGGCCAAGCCGCTGCCTACCATAAAGTACTCTCCGCAAGCCTCGTTTGAAGAAGGACATGTCATAGAAATAGAATATAATTATATATATCTTGAAATAGACCCTAAAAATCTATTATTCGATATTTGTGTCGTTCATTGTGTAATTAAGAGAACGATGAGCCTAAATTAATTGCAACGCGCCCAAATTTCAATAGGTAAAAATATGTAATGGTTCCTCACGGTTTTCTGTTCTTCAACGATTTCGTTCTTTGTCGAGTAGGTACATCACTGTTTATCAACCGCAAATTACAGCTGTTTTATTTTGTCTGTTAATTTTATCAAATATCAGGAGCGAAATGTGTTCGAAAAAAAAAATCGTATTGAAACGTGCTTTGTCTTTCACTCTTCCTAGCTATTTCAACACAAACTGTGGTGGAGTCAACTTTACTTATTTTTCTCCTCTATTTCGCTCTGTCTTCGATATCCTAGTCAGTAACATATTAGATTTTTTTTCTTACTTATGCTGATAGCCTTGAGAGGCTATTTCAGCTTCGCCCTAATGTGTAGGTGAGAGCTCACGGGGCTCAAACTGAAGTGTTGCTAACACTGGTCCTGGCAAGAGCAGTGCTTCGCAGAATCTACCACCGGGTCGGAAACGCGACCCACTGTGAAAATCCGGCGAGAAACTCAGTGGGCTGTGTCTATGGGTTAATTCGCTCGTCGAGCCCTTCGTCGCAAGCGACGGGTTCGACGAGGACGGTGACCGGAACATTACATTCCCATTTGTCCTTCAGTACTACATCTTTCCACCTTGTCTTGGGGCTACCTATAGAGGTCGTGTTGCAGTGCCAGTTTACGACATAGTCTGGTGGGAGGCCTCCTCTTTTTCGTGACCGACACAATCTCAGCGTAATGACACGTACTTTATGTTTTCGCGTAATGCAGTCAATAATGATAAAAATATAATTGAATAATTTAATAATTATATTAGATTATTAGAATATAATTTATAAATATGAAAACAATTATAAACGTAACACGAATAAATGTGAAAGTTTCTCAGACTGCTTACGATCCGACACGTTTCAGGCTCCGAGGTTTCAGTCTTAGAACTCAAAAACCACGTTACATTTTATATTGCGTCGTCGTAATATGAACCATTTGTATAAAAAGAAAATAGTAAAAAAATTGTTAGTCTTATTACATATGCAAAACATCTGTGAACTTCTTAGCTTCTAGATCTTTGTACAAAGTAAAACAATGGGTTTTCTTTGTTCTTAGGATACTTTGTAGATGTTTTTCTGCAACTTAATATTAGGTTAGGCTGCAGCTTTGCTGTGTGCAAGCAGTTGATGTCGTCCATGAGCGACTTTCACTGCTTATTAACGGATGGATTGACTCGTTTGTCTTTGAAAGAAACAATAAACTTAACTCGCAGACTCTGATATCATACACACCTCGTATTCGAAAGTCTGTTGTTGTTTGTATAGAGACTTTAAATACTTTTTTTTCTTAAATTTTCCCAAATTGTAGACATAAAAATTACTTTTACGGTTAAATTCGCGTTTTTTTACTGTCATTACATTATTTCAGATGCTTCAAATTTATATCTATACTAATATATAAATCTACAGTTGTTTTTAAGGATGATCCGTTATTACTACTACTGAACCATGCATCCGTTTGACTTGAAACTTGGTATCCATGTAGAAAATACATATACTTAATGGATAGGCTAATATTTATATGAGTGTTGGACTCCCTACACCAGTTGCGGGGGCGTTAATGATGAGAATCTTTTTGGGGGTGAGAAATAATAATTTTAGTTTTAAATTCCCAGCAAAGCGGACGGGTACAGCTAGTACTTTATAGGTTTCATGGTCATGGGCGACTGTCAGTCTGTCAGATTAAACCATAAAAGTAGTTTGAATTGTTGCTCGAATTGTTTATAAATAAAACGGTTCTAAGCCGAGCCTCATTATGGATTTGTCATTAAAGAACATTCGACTGTACAGTTCTCGTGTAGAGAGCGCGTTACCGTTAGCTCTTGGAAGAATCATCGGCGCGACGTCGACACCGCGAAATAATATTGTAGTCAGCGGCACTGCGGGGTCATCAGTCTAAAACGTATGATTCACCACGTGACGCGTTCATCGACCACCGCGATCTACGCCCGAATGTTTTTCTAGAAGGAGCACTTGTCAAAAATAAATACCGATTTTTTTTTAAAATGGCCCACTGTTTGTATTTTCACGTCTTTATTAGTCAATGTTTCTTTTTTCTCTAGATAAAGAGTTGCTTGAATCAAATATAAAGTTAGTGTAACAAGATACGCATAAGTACAAAACGAAAGAATGAAAAGATCAGTGGAAAACAGGATGCGGTGCAAGTTGAATGACCTATGAAACCACTAGATAGTAACAGAGAAGATTTATATTTTAATAAACGCAATTCGAATTTAAAACGCCGTATGTCATACGCACTCTTTTCTATGAAGGCATTACGGCCCACCTGATGTTGAGTGGTCATTGATCAGCAAAGTTGGGAACAAAGTGAAGTCACTGCTTAATAATTTGCCGAGTAAAAATTACAAAGTCATTGTCTTCTTGATAGCAACTTCACTGTTTTAGCAACATATTCAATTTAAAATTATTTTTAATTTCGTTTACTGTTATAAATTGTTTGAATACTAGGCGTTAACATCTTAAAAACAGACGGTTCGGCAGCGTGAGCTCTTCTCCCACCTACGCCAAAGATATGATTATTTTTGTTCATGTGAATGTTAATGTAGGATATTCAATCAAAAAATATCTCAAAATTTTCTGTTTTTATTTTTTATTGCTTAGATGGATGGACGAACTCACAGCCCACCCGGTGTTAAGTGGTTACTGGAGCCCATAGACATCTACAACGTAAATGCGCCACCCACCTTGAGATATAAGTTCTAAGGTCTCAAGTATAGCTACAACGGCTACCCTGCCCTTCAAACCGAAACGCATTACTGCTTCACGGCAGAAATAGGCAGGGCGGTGGTACCTACCCGCGTGGACTCACAAGAGGTCCTACCAGTAATATGTAAATGTTAATGTAAGATGTTCAATCAAAAAATATCTCAAAACTGTCTGTCTCTGTTCTGACCTTGAGGTAATTATTAACCTTAATCGCTGACCTGCGTCACTGTGGCCACTTTGAACTTGTACCACATAAACTCGTCGCTCTGCAAATAACGTCCTAGTGGAGCGATCTCAGCCCCAACGTCTATCGAACCCGTGCCAACAATTCGATCGTGTGCTTTTTTTGTAACTGCCACGTGGTTGTACACAAGTTAAAACGTCTTGTAGGACACTATTGAGTAGTATTTATACTTATTTTAGCCTAAAGCAAGCCCACTGAGATTCTCG